GGGAGGAGCTGCTGTGTAGGCCCGTGAGGCGGCGAAGGGCCGCGGGGGCCGTGTCGCCGAGGATTTGTTGCCGTGCTGCGTCCTTAACGCTCCGCTCCAGAACCTCATCTTCCGCTACCTGCAGAACGTGAGTACCGCGGCCCGGCGGGGCGGGCGTGGGCGGGGCTGGCGCAGCTTCGCCCGCTGTGTGAGGGGGATGTCCAGGTGCTTACGCTGGGGCCTGTGACCCGTGTGGGGACCGGGGAGCCCCGCCGGACTGGTGTTTCAGAGTTACTGATTCGGTTTTTGAAGCCGGTTTCGGTGAAACTGAAGAACTTGGTGTCGTTCAGATATGTGAGAAGAACAGCTAGTTCTGAGCACAGCGTTTCCTTCTCGCATTGAGGAATTACCTTTGTAACAGGCGTTTGATCTTGCAGTCCGGTGTGAAGGGATATTTTCCTGTGACAATTTTAAAATTTATGCTGTTGTGAACATGTAAAGTATTTACAAAATAGCATAATACCTTAAAAATATCTGAGGACATAACTGAAACCATGTGTGAGTAACTCCTCCGAGTGCTACAGAGCTATAGTGGCTGTGGGTAGCGAGGATTGCTTAATGCATAAGAGAGAACAAAATTGCTTGGAGTGTTTATGTTCCTGTTTCGCTCTCCTCTTCCATCCTTTGCAGAGGTCCAGGATCCAGGTGTGGCTCTACGAGCAAGTGAACATGCGGATAGAAGGCTGCATCATTGTGAGTATCAGGATATTCCCTTGTTATCCTTAGATTGTTTTTCTTTTTTTCAGATTCATAAAACTATTTCGTCCTGTCAAGAAAAACCAGCAGGGGGGTGGGGTGGTAGAAATACTTCATGCCTCTCCAGTGAATAGTCTTAATTGTCCAAGCGACGTCAGCACAGCAAATGATAGTTTGTATCGTTGTTGATGAAGTTTAGGGGGACTTAGCTCACTGACTGCTTTTGTTGCTAATTTTTAGGGCTTTGATGAATATATGAACTTGGTGCTGGACGACGCAGAGGAGATTCACTCCAAAACAAAATCAAGGAAACAGCTGGGTACGTCAGTGTGTGTGTGTAACGTGAGCAATGTCTGAATCCTGGTTGTGTGAGCCTTCCAAATAGCAACACTTTAAAGCACAAAACACGTGAAGAGCGTTGGGTTTGAAGTACAGTGAGCAGATCCTGGCGAGGTCTCGGATGCTGCCATTTCCTGAGCTGGTGGTTTTATGGAATGTGCAGGAGAATCTGCCTCTGCCTGAGGCCGGTTTTTGCCTTTCAAAGGTATATAACGACGTACGGACTGCACTGCTATTTTTCTGCGGCCGGGGTGGCTGGAGGGGTCCAGTCAAACTCCTCTCAGCTACGTCCAACGCAGGTGGCCCCGAGCAATTCTGACACTTGCTGTGCCACCTCCCAGTCGAAGCAGGGTGGTATTTAATATTTATCACCTGCTGATGAGGATAAACAGCAGTCCATGACAGGTGACGTGTTCGGGCTCTTAGTGGGGACAGAGAGCTGTTCAAACACCGAGCGCTGGAGTGGAGATTGTGTCTGATAACGTTGTAGCGTGAATTGTGAATGTGGGCCCTGCATGCCTGTGCGTACAGTCCTGTGGTGTGGCCAGATGGGAATGGACTCCGTGTCACTGATAACAACCTGGTCAGTTGCCGTGTGGGCATCTTCTTGCAAGCACCTTTGCCGTTGTTAAATGTTGTTTGAAAACACGAGGTTATCGTCAGAGTCTGGGATCTCCCTAATCCCCCGTTTCCTTTCTGTGTTGCAGGTCGGATCATGTTAAAAGGGGACAATATCACTCTTCTACAAAGCGTTTCTAACTAGGATTTGTTGTTCTTCACTTAGAACAATGGCTATGGTGCTTCGGAGCATATAAAGCGGTAGTGGGAGCAGGACGGAAAGTTATGCCTAAGCGGTGTCACGTGCAGACTGGAAAACTGTGTGTTCTCTTGCACGACTAATTTGTTTTTTTTTGTAGTCTGAAACAATCCACAACGTATTTCGCAAATAAACATTTTTCACTTTAACTGTAAACGTAAATCTGCTTGCTTTCAGTCTCATGCCCTTCTGTGAGTAGAGAAGGGGTAGAAATGTATTCAAAGTCATTTTCACCATGGATCTGTGTAAGTCTCTGATAAATATCTGTGCGTTCTGGAATGTTACATCCATTCTTTGGGCAGAGTCTCGATTAAAGCATGGCACTGTTAAATAAGTTGGGATATCACATGTATCAGTTGGATTTTTATCACGTTGGTTTATTATTATTATCCGTTTGAGGAGCTGGCTGTTCTGTTTAAGTTTCCACAAGAGAGATGAGTTGTTTAATACATCACCTTAGCGTACTTGGGACTATCAGTCCCCTCTGCCGCTTTTCTGATGTAAAAAAGAGAAAAAAGAAAGGTTTTGGCTGTAATTGTAACTCAGAGACTAAGATTACCTGGATGGAGAGAAATGAATCTTGATACAGAGGCTGCGCTAGAAATCATTTAATAAGCTTTCAGTATTTCAAAACTAAAATTTGTGTATTATCTTAAGCATGAAAATAATAACTTCAAGATGGAAGATTTCTTGCTTCAAAGGATAGAAATATATGGGTCTTCTGGCAGAGATCATGCAGTATGCTTCTCCCATGCCAAGACGTCGTACATCACGAGTATCGTAGCAGCCGTTCATGGTAAGAAACTTTTGAGAGGCAGCATGACATACTACAGTGGCTGAAGCGGCTCCAGCTGTACAGCCTGCGAACAGAGTCAGTAGTTCTGCATTTGTGTTCATAAGCTGCAAAGTCCTTTCAACATAGAGTAAACAGAAATAACCTACCGGTGTCATTTAGTAAGAGAAGTCATCACCAGAAGCTAGCACATACGGAATAAAATAGTATTTTAAGAGGTCACCTGCATCTGCTTTCCATTTTATCCTTGGCGCACCAAGTGAGGCTTTCAGGGAAGGCAGGAAGGAACTGTCTTGGTCAATAGTTCAGGTGTTGCAGTAAGAGGTATTTATGATGCAGTGCTGTAAAATTTACCTGCCCGTGTCTCTTCGTTGTTACAGACAGATGATGGCCTTGAGACTCCATAAAAATGCAGACTCTCTTCGAAGTAATTTTGAAGTAACTTTGAAGTAATCATTTCTCTTTCTGTTTGTAACTTTTTACATAGTGTGTGTTTAGAAAGAGGTAAGTTAATGGGATGTGTTGCATCACATTGCTTGGCTCCAGTTTATCCAGGGCCACTGAAAGAAAATTGGCTTGTAGCCTACAAGGGTCTGTCCCTGTCCCTCTTCCGCTTTGCACATGGCTGGCAAGCGGCTGCTTTTTGAGAAGAATTGGACATTAGGAGAAATAGCTCGTTCTTATCAGCAGTGCTGCCGCCAACTCCAAATTGTGCACTTCAAGACACCGTAATGCCTCCTAAAGCTCCTCTGCTCTTTGATATTATCAAATTAGCGCGAATGAACGTCAATATTGGAGTAGGTTGATGATGGGAGGAAGGAAGTCCAGGCTAATCAGCTCTGAAGCATCTCACGATAAGGTACCAAAATAGGCAGTAATTATGTGCGTTGGGGGAGTTGCAGAAGAAAAGGAGAAGCTCCCCAGCAGGAAGCCGTGAAAACTGCAGAAAGCCTGCAGGAGAGTCCAGGCGTCTGTGGATGTCCAGGAGGAAACACAGCCCCATTGTTTCAGGAGCGGCTGCCAATGGAGCGTTGTGGTCCAAGAGCAGAGCTTCTAGGCATTACCAGCACATAGATGGGGCACAAAAACAATTCTGGCTTTGCCAGAACTGGCTTCCCAAGAAGCACTTGTCTGTCCTTATAAAAACCACAGCACTGACTCATCTAAATGCTTGCTGATTTTTTTTTAACCCCGAATCCTTCCTGCTTCCTGAGCGTTTCCAAGCTGCAGGCAGCAAGAAGGTAACGTCTCATGAGCCGCTCGAACCGTGCCGTGCCAGAATGAGACTCAAACTGGCTGCAAAAGAGTGCGGTAGACAGAAGGGGGTGCTGCGGGCTCGGCCAGCTCCCCCTGCCCCTCCAGCAAAGTGTCATAAGCCTCCGCAGGAACACAGAGTTCCCCAGCATTCAAGCAGCTTTATTGGCTCCCAAACAACCTGGAAGAAAGCAAACTGGGCTGTCTGGTGCGGGGCTGCTCTCAAACGGTGCGGCGGCCGGACAGGGTGCCTGGATCTCCTGGGCACCGGCTCGTCCGCACCCTGGGGTGTCC